CCTTGCCGCAAATGCACATTCATTCAAATGAAGATAGTAGATAATTCTCACAAATTATTTTAATTCTGAGTTTCTGATGCAGAGATTGCGTCATTTTGCGGAGATAGAATATAAAGAAACAGATATATGTAGCACATTTAAAATCCCTATACACGTGATACGTATTATTATTATATTTCTATAAAACTTGCAAGATATATAAAGTTCTTGAAATAGTTGGAAGGATAAAACATCCACAAACTTTCTTTGTCATGGTTGAAAAATGACTTCGTCATGTAATATCCTTTCTTAGTCTATAATTTTTTTAAAGACCTCTGTCTCATCTGATTAGTATTGATTGAAACTACCACTACACTACCATTGCATCTTTGAGACGAAACAATATATCTAACGCTTGCTCTTTACCGAGGTACTAGTATGAATGATTAAGAAAAAAGTTTACATTTTAAACTGTTCGATCAAAATGAATTGCTTTCATTTTAGACGACAATCTATAATACATTTATGCGTAGTAGCAAAAGTAAAGTTGTTATCTATTCGTAAATTTACCTAGCTATTTGCCTACGTACCTTCTTATCAGTGAATAAATGAGACACTTTCTTGTGTATAACATATTTGTTGCAAAGCATAAAAGAGTGAGCAATAGACATGTTTGTCTGTATTTCTCAGCGGTGAACTTAATATCAAAAGGTTAAATTGCAATATATTGTAGAATTTCGTTCTTGTAAGGATGCAAACAGTATTTCATCAATTTTTGCAAACATATATAGAAGAGGCAAAACCATCAACAACAGTTAAACCCTCCACTCCAGAAAACAAAACATAATAATAATAATAATAATAATAATAATAATAATAATAATAAAAAGAACAAAAGCGAAAATGTCCAATGAAATAAACAAAACTGATAAAACAAATAAATGAACGAACAAAAAAAACCTTCAAAAGATAATTATAAGAAAAACAAAAATAATTACAAAAAAATAACAACAAAGAAGACAAAAATAACAATAAATGAACATCCTACTCTACCAGAAGTAGGTATTTGTCAAAACCAAATATTCGAGATTCTGTTGATTTATAACACTCGTTAGCTTGGCAAGTTAGGATTATTTCTTAAAGGATATAACATCTTTGCCAAGTAAAACAAAAAAACAAAAAAACAAAAAACAAAACACCATGGAGTTGTATATTCTTAAATTGAGTACAATAAAATCTTGTTACGTCATAAACATAATGATACAGCGGTTATTAATATCTTTTAAGGAGGGAATGATTTATCTCAAAATCGACGAATTGCATTTTCAACTCTCAGTGGAAATAACGTTTAGGGTCTCGGATTTCAATGGAAAAGGACGAAGATAAAGAATACAAGTATCAAGTTACGATTGTATTATGTCTCGATGAAGAAGAATATTTATGAAAACTGAAAGAGTAAAATATTCCAGAAGCGGACTGGAAGGTGCGTGAGATTTAAATCAATAAATTGCGGATATTTGCGGTTTTCATTTGAAATTCTACTGCTTCTTCCAGTACAAGTTCAAGCAAACAAGAAATAATTGCAAATGCAACTGTCAACATTTTCTGAGGCATTTGTTTGACTTGTATTACACGGAGAGGAAACGAAGATATTTGATGGAGAAATCTGACCTGCCGTTGTAACGTTTGGAGATATTTCCCTCCATTGTCAGAAAGTATTTCTTCATAATGCAAACATTATTATACACAAAACACGCACGCGCACACACACACACACACACAAATACATGTTTTTGAAAAGTAGTCGAATTAACTATACTATTAAAATAATTTAGACTTATGTTTGTTCCAAACCATACTCATTACCTCCTTTATCATAAGTGCATCAAGGTTTAAAAGTTAAAACAGACATCGTCTGACACAGAGCGGCTAGGTTTATTTTCTATGAACTCACAGCTGATATCTAAGGAGGAGAATCTGAAAGCAAACAAATTTAAATTGTCCAGTGATTTCAGAGAACATAGCTGGATGGGCATGCATACAAAAATAAATACAAATTAGATGTATGTATTTAATATTTTAAAAGTTAATTTCAAACATATGAAAATATATCATACAGATGTTAAACTTCGGTAAATGTATATACAATAACAAATAAGTGTAAAACATGTAAAATCTTTAAAACATGATTAGCATTTTGTGTGAGAAATGCATTTCCTAACAGGGTGATACATCGCAGTATAGATTTATTAATTGGTTGACATCAAAAATACTTTTGACTTTCTAGGTGGAAGTAGTGACACTCTTTAAAGACGTTTTCATTGCATTTTGGTCGAGATCCACTTTACAGGGGTTCAAAGTACTTTTGTCTTTTAGGTGGAGGTAGAAACTGTTATTATATGCATTTTGGCCGAAAGTTTTATATATATATATATATATATATATATATATATATATATATATATATATATATATATATATATACTGTAGTCATGGCGACAATTAATGGTCAATAAATATAGAAATTACATTTAATTAATGCATGCATGTATTAATGAAATGAAACTGAAAATCAAGCAAACGTAATATATTGCAAAAATAATGATTTAATTTCCTCAAGGTGAACATAACAAAATAACAAATTTTCTTTTAAAGAAGATTTACACATATCAGTTCTTTATCAAAACTAGGACTCAGAATGTTTTAAATAGTTGAACGTGTCCACTCTATTCCTGTATTTTCTTTCTAAACTATGCGAAATGTTTTTTAGGCAGAATTTGAATATGAATTATCAACCAGCATGATTTATATGCCTGCCTTACCAGAAAGCAACTAAATAGTAACTTTCTTCTGTATGCGAATTATGAAAGAAGTGTAAACAACTGGACTTGTTCATTTCACGTAAGATGCATTGTATCTGAGTAAAGTAGGAATAGGAAAACACTATCAATAAACGGTAGATTTTATGCCTCATCACGGGAGATTAACAACAAAGCAACTACAAGGAAACGTGAATTGTGTACATGTGCGCTTCAGGGATGTTATTAATGATGACGGAAAACAAGAGAGAAGTGCGTCGTTCTAAAGCACTTTGTATTTTTGGACCAATAATATTGGACTCATTAATTTAATTTCACTTAAAGTTCTTGTATCTGAGTACACTAGAAAAAAGAAAGCACTATCGGTAAATTGTAGCTTTTGTGACACATCCTTGATAATTAAGAGAAAAGCAACAAAATGTAAAGAGAAGAAACATAATGAATTATATGTGATTATTATGGACAGACATATAGTAAAGATTAATATTACGGTGATAATAATTGTTTATTTGTTTAATTCATTGATGTTGTTATTGATGAGGGAAAACGAGACAGAAGTGCGTCGTAAAATTTTGCACTCTCTCTTTCTGTGAGCTTTTTCCGTTACGATGTTTAGACCATCTGAGGCGCATCAGATTTTAGTTCAATATACTTTTTCCATTCTTTTCATTTCATAATTTGAATTTTGGCCAATGGCAGGAAGGATCGTAATCTAAATCGCGAACATTTAGAAATCCTCTAAAGTTTTGTTAAGCGATGATTACCTGTTATTCTCACATTAAACACTGTAGTCGGTTTATGTCGCTGTGGATTTTCCAATGTATCTCGTTATGGACGACTTGCATCTGTAGCATGAAGCAGATATTTAAATGCAACTGCATTATGAAGCAGATAAATGAATGCATGCATTTAGGTTTAATGAAATATCAGTACAGTGCTAGCTATTTGTGCCAAATTGAAAGTACGTTTACAAAACGTAATGATTAAGAAATGTCAAACTATAAACACTTCAGGAAGAGTAAAACCTTTGAAATAAATAAAGGTAAAATTGAAGGCCTACAAGATACAAATTAATTTTTTAAAATTCTGTTATCTATGTATAAAAAAACAAAGATTTTTTTTCTGATGGCACATCAGCAAGGAGTTCCTTGACTGATTTCCAATTAGACCCCTCCCCGAAATGGAGGAAAACCTCTCCACAAACCATTAAATTACTTGTCGCATGGTGACAGTCGTTGCACGCAGAATGATATTAACCAGGTTCCAGTCCAAACGTCTTGTGACGTTTCGTTATTTACCAGGTATGCTTGAGGCAGTTATGTGCATCCTATACGCGATCGGCACGATACCACAATATATCTACGATTTTGAAATAAACCAAAAGTGGCACTCAGACGGTTTTGTGTGGAGAGATAGGTTCTTTTGGAATTAACATTAGGAAAACCATTTGGAAAATATCAGTCTTTCACTTCTATGGTAATTCAGTGTTAAATGGTCACCTTGTTTGACTATTATGTGCTCAAATTTGCCAATGTGAACATTAATTTTAAAACTTTCATAGGATTAGCATTTGTGTGTCACAATGTGATGAAGGAGGCAATTGATATTACAAAAGTCTATAGGTTAAAAATTGAAATGGCATGTTGGGGTAAAGGAGACTGTAGTATTTAGGTTATAATTTATGGTTTAAAAATGGCCATATAGTTTGAAGAGCAGAGGTAAAAAATGTACGAACCAAGATGTAGTTCTGACTGACTAATAACCACTCATTTGGTATTACCCCATCTACTAACCAACGCACCATTTGACTCATAAGAACCCACCCATATAAATCAATATTTCGCTATAGTCCCCACGTAAATAATAACACTACTCATTTTGTGTCACTTTGGCCTATTCATGTAACATAGCCCAATTGCAAGTTACAGAATAGTTCTAGAAACGCCACTGGGAAATCAATCCATAGAAACCATTAAGTCCCATTATTAACATTATTATTAATAATTTTCAACAACATCTGTTTATAGATCCTATAAAACTACTACGCTCTTAAGATATTTACGTCACGTACTCAAAATTTAACTAAAGACATTCTGTACGACTAATAGTATGAATACAAAATATAAACATAAGATGAAATATTGTGTCAGGTGTTACAAAGACTATAGATATACATAACATATGCGATATTCTCCTTTTATGGGTACGGTAGCCTAGTGGTTAGAGCGTCCGGCTCAGACGCGGGAGGTAACGTGTTCGAACCCAGGTCGAGTCATACCAAAGACTTTTAAAAAATGGTACTAATTGCTGCTTCGCTTTGCACTCAGCATTATGAGGTTACTGTAAGGACTGGTCGGTCTGGTGTCAGGATAACGTGACAGGGTGGCATATCATGCCACATGTCTGCGGCATGATTTGATTTGATTGGATTGATTTAATTTTAACGGCGCACCAGCACTTTTAGGCTACATAGCGCCATACAGTAGGTCATAGGAGTAAAAAGAAAGGTTCAATATCGACCAGCGATATAGTAAAAAAACCCATAGTAGTTAAATATAAAATGGCAAATGTTGGTAACAGTTGAAGATGTTGGTTCCCGATCAACGGGAAATGTAAATGATGTATCTTGATGAAAAGATGCAAATAATAGTTGGCACTTGCATTAGTTACAAAGTTAGTTTGGATAAGGTCATACAAGTTACAGTTTAAAATAAAGATTTACTTCCTTTAGGAAATCTAAAATACTAGTGATTTGAATAGTATCAAAAAGTTCCTGCATGTCGTGTACATTATAGTATTTATCACGCTTAGGTTGCAGGTCGGAACACGTGGTGATAAAGTGTTTAACAGTAAATGGTACATTGCAAGGAACGCACTCTGGTGGATCTTCACCTTTTAGTATGTGTGAGTGGGTAATGTATGTATGACCGATTCTGATTTTTGCAATGGCAACCTCCTCCCTACGAATAGTTCGGTAGGAAGGAGTCCATTCTCCAAAGATTGGTTTGATGGCATGAAGTTTGTTATTGATTGCATCATCCCATGATACCTGCCACTTTTGACGTATATACTTTTTGATACAAGGTTTAAAATCAGAATATGGTAATTTAAAATCCGATGGTTCTAAAGATAGGGCCATCTTAGCAGCCCGGTCTGCTTCTTCATTACCTCTAATACCAATATGGCTAGGTTGCCAACAGTATACTATATTGCATGATGCACTAAGCTCAGAGATTTTGACCAGAACATTCACAAATAGTGGATTATCTAGTTTGATATTGTTTAGCGCCTGAAGCACTGATAATGAGTCACAGAAGATAATACTATTTAGAATATGCTTAGATTCGATAAATGTCAGAGCAAGTTCTATTGCTCTGATTTCCGCTGAAAATATGGATTCATCATTTAATTGATTGATTTATATTTTACGGCGCATCAGCACTATGTGGCTATTTAGCGCCAAACATTAGTTTATATCCTTTTTCAAGGATTCATCATTTGGCAAACGCTCTTTGGTTATGTGTTTGCCACTGACAAAGGCTGCAGCAGCCTTATCAGCAACCTTTGATCCATCAGTATAAAATCTAGCATAATGTGTAAAGTCATTGAGAAGATCATGATAAGAGTTCAAGAATAGGATAGTGTTTGTCTCAGATTTTTTCCGATCGTGTAACGTAAAAATCACTTGGGGTTGCTTAATGAGCCAAGGTGGTGTTTTCGAGACAAATGTTTTCTGGATTGAAGATAGATTACATTTGATTTGGTCAAAGCAGGATGATATTCTAAAACCAAATGAAGGTATAGCATTTGGTTTTTTACGTATAAAGCTTTGTAATTTGGATGAAAAACGGCCGAAAAAGCAGGGTTCAGAGGGTTGGATCGTAACTTAAGAGCATAATGTGCAGAAAGCATTTCTCTGCGATGCGATAAAGGTGGTTCATTCGCTTCCGCGATAAGGCTTTCACACGGAGATGTCTTAAATGCTTCTAGAGCAAGTCTTATTCCCTGATGATGAATTGGGTCAAGCATTTTCAAATAGGACTTCCTAGCTGAACCATAAACAATGCACCCATAGTCTAAGATGGAACGGATAAATGTTCTATACAAATTAAGGAGTACTTTTTTTTTTATCAGCACCCCAATCAGTGTGAGCAATTACTTTAATCAAATTTAAGGCTTTTAAGCATTTAGCTTTCAAATTCTTAATGTGAGGTATGAGTGTCAGCTTTTTGTCAAATAGAATACCCAAGAATTTTGTTTCTTCAATAACTGGAATAAGTGTTCCATCCAGCGTGAGTTTTGATATATTGTAAAGAGCAACCTCATTTAGGTGTTTACAAGAAAAGATATTTTATATTCATGAAATCAAACAATTTTCAGTTTCTGATCAAAAGCGGGACTGGAAAGGTTTTATATAGATTCACGTATTTTCTTTCGATTGATAGTGAACGTTAATTAAGAAAGAATATGAAAGGAAATTCGTCCCCTAATTGGTTGTTATTGCTTCAACGACATTGTCTGTCTTCATCAACTAGTAGGATTTATATGCCTTCATTACTAGAAACCCAATCGAATGGTAACGTACTTCAGCATTCAATTTATGAAAAACGTATAAACTGTTCAACTCATTCAGAAAATTTCATGTAAGATTCATTTTATTAGGGTACAGTAGGACAAAGAAAACATCGGTAAATTGCAGATTTTCTTACTCTTCTGTGACAATTAAGAAAAACGCAACTGCAAGGAAAATATAATGAAAATGAATAATTATATATGTACGGACAAACTGTTAAATAAAAAACATTAGGATGAGCATAAATTAGTGTATATGTGGACCTCTGGGATGTTGCTAATGATGACGGAAAACAAAACAGAAGTGCTCCGTTGTCAAGCATTTTGTATTTTTGGCTCTATAATTCAATATATTGTGCATAAGAACCAAAAACTGTTCGTTTCTTTCATCTGCTTTGATTGCTTAATAGAGAGAATGTACAGTACATTTTATTGGAAAAATATCAACTCATATGCTGCGAATGACGTCAAGACGGAAAAAGGCTGGGAGCAAGCGTCAACTCTTCGGTCTTAATATATGATCAATAAAAATTCTGTCTCAATCTAAGTCTTCTATCTGTCTCTCTCTCACACATCGATTTCTGTTTATCTTTGGTGCAACTGCACTTTCGAAGTCAGACTCGAATATATATATATATATATATATATATATATATATATATATATATATATATATATATCTATATATAAAGAATACAAATCATATGGCGAATAACAACCCTCTCAAGCGTACTGGATCCACCAAGGGATCACGTCTGTCAGGGATTAATTAAAATAGATGCAATAAACTGACGACGAACAGTACGAAACTAGTAACTAACTAGCCTAAGCGCTTTCGACTCTTAATGAGTCTTTTTCAAAGGCAAATACAAAACATAGTTACGACAAACAAATAAACACAAAAACGTTGCGTTTGTAAACCTCTACATTTCTATCTTCACATGTGTTAAAACTATAAATACAACCAGCTTGTGTAGACTAGTTGCGGAAACTGAAAACGTTGTATAATTCCCTAAAAGTCTACAAGCCAAAGCGACATCTATTTTTATTTTGTGTACATATGTAACGCAGATTATATCCCGGATATTTGGTTCTATACCGGTTATTCTTATAGTAAAAATTGAAGGATAAGAAGATTTAGAAAATGTTAAATTCTACTAGTGCATAGTTTTCATTTTCTAGTCTTCTTGGTTTAGACCGCTTGGTTTCAATGTTCTAAGGCGGCGTATCCAGTATGATTCCTTTTCCTTCCTGGTTTCGGAACTCCAGCTGTGGTTGTTGGCAATAGCGATAAGTATTATATCACTGAAAGTGTGGCCAGGGGAGGAGAAGTGTTCTGCGACCGGGCTTCTGTACAGCTTTTTTGTCATCCAATCAGATCTATGAAGGTTTATCCTTATGTGTAGCTTTTCAGTTTCTCCCACGTACTGAAGGCCACAGATCTTACATGTGATGAGATAAATCACATTCTCTGTTTTGCACGTTTTGTTTGGACCATGTATGTTTAGTTTTTCTTTAGTCACTGTGCTAGTGAATGTCTTGGTCTCTATCATATGTTGACAGGTTTTGCATCTTTTATCGCCACAGGGTCCAGATTGACTAGGTTGGTTTTGACTAGCGATTGTTGTTAGCTTGGCCCTGACTAGGATGTCCTTTAGGTTTTTTGGTCTCCGGTAAGCTACTACAGGTTTGTTCGGAAGTATTAGGTTTAGTATGTCTGACGATTGCACGGTTGGCCAGTGGTTTGCGATGATTTTACCTACTTTGGGATTGTCTGGGTGATAGGTCAGAATAAATGGTATCCTATCAACCTTTTCTTTCTGTCCATATCTGAGTAGGTCATCACGGTTTGTTTGTTTGGCCCTTTGGATTGCCTCCGCAATCAGGTCTTTGTCGTAGCCTCGGTAAATTAAATGTTTAGCCAGCTCTTCAGACCTTTCTATGAATCTTTCATCGTCGGAGCAAATTCTGCGTATCCTCAGTGCCTGGCTATATGGAATGTTCAACAACCAGACTGGTGGAAAACAAATTACACACAGACATCTACTCGAAACCAACCGACAAACACCAGTATCTTCTCCCAACCAGCTGTCATCCAAAACACTGCATTAAGAACATTCCATATAGCCAGGCACTGAGGATACGCAGAATTTGCTCCGACGATGAAAGATTCATAGAAAGGTCTGAAGAGCTGGCTAAACATTTAATTTACCGAGGCTACGACAAAGACCTGATTGCGGAGGCAATCCAAAGGGCCAAACAAACAAACCGTGATGACCTACTCAGATATGGACAGAAAGAAAAGGTTGATAGGATACCATTTATTCTGACCTATCACCCAGACAATCCCAAAGTAGGTAAAATCATCGCAAACCACTGGCCAACCGTGCAATCGTCAGACATACTAAACCTAATACTTCCGAACAAACCTGTAGTAGCTTACCGGAGACCAAAAAACCTAAAGGACATCCTAGTCAGGGCCAAGCTAACAACAATCGCTAGTCAAAACCAACCTAGTCAATCTGGACCCTGTGGCGATAAAAGATGCAAAACCTGTCAACATATGATAGAGACCAAGACATTCACTAGCACAGTGACTAAAGAAAAACTAAACATACATGGTCCAAACAAAACGTGCAAAACAGAGAATGTGATTTATCTCATCACATGTAAGATCTGTGGCCTTCAGTACGTGGGAGAAACTGAAA